TAAATGTGGTTGTATATGCTTAACAACTTTCAAATGAGTGTAAAATGAGTTAGGTTCAAGCTTTGTAAACTTGGGAATGTCCAATTCCATTGTAGCCTAACTAACCATGCTTTTGGAAAAGATGAGAAACATTATGTCTTTAAAGAGTTCAATGAGCACTTAATGGATAAAGTGGGGTGTTTCTGGATGATAAAACACCTTCTAATAAAGTGTGAGAACCTATACAAATGGTACAATGTGATTTGGAAAAGGGTCTTAAAGAACTATGTAAAGTATAGTGTTATTTTGAGAAAAATCGAGTTTTGTATGTGTGCAGATATGAAAACATGGTCCGTTTAAATGCATGCTTTAATTTACACGGCCCGTTGAAGTCTCTGATTTGGAGATTTTTTTGTTTTCTTTATAACTTTTACATACAGACTCGGATTTGCACACGGTTTTTGCCTACATTCATATTTTTACATGAGGGATGATTTGAAACAATAAAATTTAGTAATGGAAGTTATGAAGGGTATTTTGGTCTTTTTAATGACTTATGTCCATATATGGTGTAGGTAGTGTTTGAAGAGGATTGATCTAGGGAAAGGAAATAGAAGAGAATTAACTAACCAACATGTGATTTAGGTGAGTACGTGTTGGCATTTTTCCCACTTTGGGGTACATGGCAAAATGATTTTATGATAATGAAACACTATTGTTTGATATATGAAATGTTTTTGAAATGAAAGTGTCAAATTTTTTAGAAAGGATATTTTGAAAGAATGTCTTGAAGGCAAGAATGTTTTTGAAAGCAAAGAACGTTTTGGAAGATCGAATGTTTTGAAAATGTGCTTGAAATGTTTTGAAATATAGATGCTTTACTTTTGAAAAGAATTTTTAATGATAATGTATGAAAATGTGTAAAGCATGGAAAGTAATGACAAGAAATGGAAAGTAATGAAAAGAAATGGAAATTAATGAAAGAAATCGGAAAGAATCTGAAAGCAATGAAATGAATATATTGCTCGAGCTATGATGTCCCCGTAACGGGATATAGAGGAATCTATCGGGGTGGCGCATCCCTTTCGCGAGATAGATGTCTCAACGGAAATGATGTCTTGGTGGATTGATTATGTTCTTTACACATTGGTATAGACTTGGGGATATTGCTAGACCTTAAGTATAATAATGGCAACAGTTTAACACCGAAATTAGCCCTTAATGGAAAAATGGAAATGGAAAAGAAGTTAATGAATTGATAAGATAAGAAATGATACTTATGATATGATATGTTATGTTATGTATGAAATGATTTTTCATTAAAATGGTTGAAAATGTTGTACGGTATGCATGAAAGGAGTTTTTCTTTGACAATGATCGAAATTGTTTTATGGTCTAAAACCCACGTAGCTCACGAGACATTTTTGTCTTACATATCTCTTTTTAATGTTATGTATTCCATGTTGCAATTAAGAAGAAAATATGATAGATGAAAGTTAGAAGTCAAGAGACAGAGAATGGAGTGGAACTTGTCAAGTTCCTTATTAATGTTATTGATGTAATTCGTATTTGCTTCCTATGATTGTATAATGCTTAATGGTAACACCCAATGTTTTAATTGGAATTGTTTTTGTGGGACCGGTTTTTGTTGAATGGGGGTTAATACCCAAATGTTTTTATGACCATAGCATTTGAAAAAGTTTTGAAAAAATTGGGGTGTTACAACATTCCTTGCCATAATATGATTAAATTAATTAAATGGGTATATATGTGAGTTTATAGGTTTTATAAGGATATTAATATAATTTGAAGTTTTAGAAAGATATAGATGTAATTATGAAAATTTACAAGGATATAGACGAAATTATCTCATTTTTAAAGTTAACGAACGAAAGTTATTATATGTGAGCCGACACATACGAATGAAATGTTTATAAAATGAAGCACAAAAACATTAAAAAAAATTACGTCGAAACGTAGACAAACTCGAATTTAAACCAACACGTACATAAAGAAAAAGAAAGTTTATTTTTAAAAACTAACGAACGAAAGTTCTAAATTCATATTGAAACATTTGATCACCTTGAATGTATACCGACACATATATAAAAATAAGCACGTAAAACTATTTTTTTTTTGTTAACAGACGAAAGTTATTAAATAAAATCAAATTATATATATACCACAAATAATAAACATGAAAGTTTAGAAAATAGATGGTGAAAATAATATTTTACAAAGTTCAAAATTGAAGGGGGACATTCTAAAAAGTGAAAGGTTGGAAAAACCACAAACTCATAAACATAATGGTCCTTATAGTTTACCCATGGTCACAAATTCAGTCTTACATACTTAAAAATACCAAAAGTAACGGTGTGAACAAAAATAACCATTCACACAAGTTTTGGAAATCACAATGACCATGTTCGACAAAAAAATAGTAATGACTGAGTTTGTTGCATTTGATAAACCACAATGCCCATTTATTTAATTTTGTATTAATTAATCTATATTAATAAAATTAATTAATATGTTAATATAATTTTTTTTGAACGACAAATACAATATAATCATAAACTACTCCTAAATCCATATTAATTAGTTACATTAATACATATTAATTAATATATTAATACAGCTAATTAATATAAGGTGGTATTTAATATGTGAAATTTGAATTAAAAACAAAAAAAAAAAAATCAATGACAAATGGAATAAAAATAGTTCTAAATTTTTTAGAAAATAACATATGTCAAATTTAACGAGAAATTTGACATTTACCAAAAATAATCTTTATTTATTAACATAAAGTTCATAGCTTTTTTACAATATTGTAATTTAATCCAAATAAATAGTAAATTACACAAATGTTCCTATGGTTTGAGGTAACTTACATGTTTGGTCCTAATTTTACTTTTAACTCGGAACGTCTGCTTATTTTTTTTACACGTCCCTTTAATATTTTAAATGACTTATATACCCTTTCCTTTTTTATTTGTTTATTTGTTTTCATTTAATTTCTAATTAATATTAACTTAGAGAAAAAGTTTATTTAAAAATATTTCTGGGTCCTACACCTCAAACCCACTTCTTAATCTCTCCATCCTTCGTCCCTACATCTCTCACACCTCACTTCTTGCTGCCCTACCCGAGCTACCGTCGGGTCACCATCTCCGACCGCTAACTTTTCTGGGAGCCTTCCTTCGCGAAGATACTCCGATCCTTTCGTTGTTTTGATTGTGATATTGTATCTCGTTTCAAAATAGAGCAAACGCTCGCTGAAAATCCATCCATCTAATGATTCGTTTGCCATATACTCGTAAACGAGAATTCAATGCTTTGATTCTGCACAAAATCCTTCGAGTCTTACCAAGTAGTGGTGATGGATGCTTTTGATTATGCCCACTTTTGATCGGAATTCATTCTTCCCTTTCTGAGCCCTCTAACCGCTTGAGAAACGAGTTTTACCATTATCGTCGTAAAAGCTCCCAAGCTGATCAAACACGTAACAGATTCAATTGTTGTTATAGAAAAACAAAGCCAAGCAAGTACAATCATTCAAACACGACGATTTACAACCATCTAAATCAGTTTTAAGATCTGGCGAAGCAAATCCTAGCGCAAAATAGCTCAGATTCTCCCATACGTTGACAAAAGTAGATAAATTTCTCGATTTGTTACATGAAGAATCGATTTGTGGTTTGCAGAAAATAAAAATTGCAAAAGAGAATTCCATTTTCAACATAAATCCTCCATGAATTGCTTTCAATGGTGGCAGAAATGAGATGCATTCTCGATTTGCAAAGAAAAACTCAAATTGTTATTAAGATTTGCTGCTTACAAGCTGCATATCTTTAACAAAATCTTGATGTGAGATAAGGATGTTTGTCAGATAACTAAAGTTCTCTAAAACACCACAACGGTAGCTTTGAGGTGTAGGACCTACGAATAGTTTTTTTTATTAAACCTTTTACCAAATAAGATAATATTAATACGAAAATATTATCAATGATAGATAAACAAATAAATAAATAAATAAGAAAAGAAAAGGGTGTATCAGTCATTTCAGATATGGAAGGGACTAGACGCGCAATAAAAATAAACAGTAGAGACGGTCCAAGTTAAAAAAAAAATTAGGGACCAAACACATAAATTACCACAGACCATAGGGACCATTCATGTAATTTACTCCAAAATAAATTAATAGAGACTTAGGTGCGTTTGATATTCTGAAGCAAAAATTAATGAAGTCTGCGGACCACCTCTGCGGGTGCTGCAGTAGAAGAGGTGGACCAAACGGCTGCAGACTATAATAAGAAGTGTGTTTGTTTTTTAACATCTGCATACTACTGCAGATATTAAAAAATTAAAATAAATTAATTTTATAAACCGAAAAAAAAATTTAATACGTAAAATTTAATAATGTATAACATTTCGGCAATAATTAATGATATTTCAGTAAAAAATATTGATATTTCTACAAAAAATAAATATATTTTAGTAAAAAATAATGATATTTCATCAAGAAATTATCATTATTGAATATAAAAAAATGAAAAAAAATATTCAACAATAATAAACAAAAAAAACGAAAAAAAAAGTGAAATAAAATTTCAACAATATATAATCAAAATTTTAGCAAGAAAAAAAGAAGAAGAAGAGGTTGGAAGAGGCAGGACAAGTGCTGCGCCAAACAGAGCACGCGCAGAGGTTTTTGACTCCGAAGACTTCTAAAAAACAAACAACTGCGAGATGAAAAGTGTTGCACGTGTACTGCGTCGCGCAATAATAACAATAAGAGGTTTGAAGATATTTTTTTAAAAAAAAAACAAATATCACCTTACAGCTGGATAAATTGATTCTTGTGACGTAAACCGTAAATTTGTCTAGGACTCACCGTAGACACTCCGTAGCGGATCATAATCTCTTTATTTCGTTAATCTAACTCCGTTATCCTTCCCGAAAATCACATACCTACAAACAAACCAAACCTCTTTCTTTCTCTCTCTATATCCGCGTTAATGGCGTCTACGACCACCGTCCTCCTCCTGTTGTCGATCATCGTCGGTCTCGCTGCTATCTCCGCCACCGCCAGGCCTTGCAAGACGATCTTCTTCATCACATCCACTTCCTCCTCCTACTACCCAGCCGACAATAATCACCCTGGAAACCCTAATTTCCCCCACCAAAACCCTACTAACTCCCCTCGTTTGACCTTCTTCATCACCGAAATCCACGAATTCCACCGCAGCAGGTCCTTCCCCCGTCCGATCTTCCCCGACCGAGCAGTGGAAGATGTCGTCTCTTCAAAACCCTCTTCTTCTTCCTCGTTTCGCGATCGCACCCTGGACATCATCAGTATTGTCGGCGCTCTACTCGTCGGTGTAGGCTGCGGGGCTCTCACCGCCGCAACCATGTACTTAATCTGGTCCGTATGTTCTAGCAGACGCTTGGATTTCGGCTCCGATTCCGATGAGGAAGAGTACGACGTCGACGATGAGGATGACGTCACCCATAACAAGAACGGTTACGCCCCTATCCCTGCCGCCACCAAGCCTGTGCCACCTTCTGCCGATGAAGTCGATGCAATGAAATAGATGAAGCTCTGGTTTGGTAAGTATGTCCTTTGGATTTTTAAACCAAGTGTATGTTTCATGTATGTGGATTCTTCCTTTCTGTTACTATATGTATCTGTTAAAATGCGAAAATTTTTAAGTGCTACTATGGTTCGATTTACATATTCTTACGCGATATGTGTGAATTTAAGATTGCTATGCTTTATTATAATCAATGTTACATATGGTGTCTCTAGGATTGTACAGCTAAATCCTTAATTTTTCTATGCTTGATTAGTCAGAGCTATTTGTTAGAGTTGTTCTAAATTGATATTGATCACTGGGATGTTTCTGATTGCCCTCTATGGTTGATTTACTCCGGTTTTGTTCAATCATTCAAGATTTATTACATATTAATAAGTAGGCGATCACACTTATGTTCTTCAAGATTATCTTTTTCTTGCAGCTCTGTGGTTTACTGAATGGAGGTACTATGATCTCTTCTCTCTCCTTCCTCCATTTTTGCCACTCATGGTGAACTATTCCAATGAGTATCTTCCTTTGTTTTACATCTTTTGATCTGTAGTTATCTTTGCATACTTTCTTTGCTCGCTGCTCTTTGATTCTCAATTTCCTTTTTCTCATATAAAACATAGAAATTTCTGCTATTAACTATTTTATGTTTTTATATCACATGCCACATGCATTTGTTAACACTTGGGGTTTCATGATTCCATCATTTGATTAATTAATATGAAGATATTCCTTTGTTGTGGGTGTTTTTGTGTATAATTGCTTGGAATTTAGAAGTAAATTTTACTATTTGGTACCATTTAAGGTACGCTAAAGTGAAAATAGGATACGTGTATATGATGAGTAACACAACACATAGAGGACACATGTGATTTTAAAAACAAATAATGAAACAACACAACATATAGAATGAAAATGTGAATGGATATGATATGATAGGATAAGGATGTATTTATAAAGTGTGGAAGTAATAATCGTATATATTCTGTCGTTTTACTTTAATAAAACATATTCCTAACTTTTTTATTTTGTGTAAATATTCACTAAATCATGAAATTGAAGACACTTTCATGCAAAAATTCGTGTACAGAGAATCCGACCCATATATATAAGTGCCTCAACAAACTCTAGTTCAACTGCGCCATTTTAGAACCAAAACCCATATTATTAATAACATCTTTTAAGTCGCCTCGGTTTACAGAATCATAAACATCCTTAAAATCTACTTTAGATACCATAATTTTTTTCTTCTTTTTTATATCACTCAATCACATTATTTACCATTAACTGCCTATTATGAATATGGTGCTCCATGGTAAATGTCTATTGTTCAATATTAGCCACACTTACCATTACTTTCACCAATCAACTAACTAGATTTTTCTCCAAAATTTTATAATGCACTGCAATAAGACTAATCATATAATAGTAACGCACATAAGCTTTGGAACTTTAGGAATAAGGATACTAAAGATGAGTTACACCATTTTGGAATTTTATACTTGGATATTGAAATTTTAAAAGAAAATTTACAACACCCGTCTCCATTTACTCCAGAATTGTTTTAAAATTCAATCTCCTCCGACTCTTTAAGAAAACTACACAAGAATCAATTGTAGAACCTGTAGCTAGCCTAGCCTCCCATTTACTATTAAGTCGATTACAATAAGTTTCTATTTAGTATCAAATTTTTAAGATTCTTGAACGCTTTTCTTTTCCTTGATCCAGTTTCCACCTTGAATTTAATGTTTTTAAGCTTGCTTTTGAAATAAATCATCTAGTCTTCACCACCTTCGGCCCAAGAACCATTGACCAAGTTCCTGAAATCATCAACCGTCATCCAAGAATGAAAAACTTTGAATAGCATAGGACAATAATTCAAAATCATGACTATCGAACTATGACCCAACCATTTTCTATCCAACGGGATAGAAGTAATATTAGTAAAAACATCAACTAAATCACCTGAAATAAGAAATCTATCGCTTTTACTCATTTTAGAGCCCACTATATCAACTCAGCCTAAAAGCTCTACCCTCAAATGGAACGTCAACCAAACTCGAATCTTGAATAAAATCATTGAGAGAATTAGCCAATGAATGGCATAAATAGCCATTTGATGTCTGCAGAGAATAATAATCCCATAAAAAACTTAGAATTCTTGTCATCTTTCACACCTAATTGTACGAGCAAAACCCAAATCTTCCATGCATTCATTCTCATTCGACTCTTTAAAAAAAATTAGACAAATATCAATTTCATAACCTGTAGCTAGACTCTCATTTACTCTTAAGTCGATTCGAATAAGGTTCTGTTTAGTATCACATTCTTCAGATTCTTGAGTGCTTTTCTTTTCCTTGATCCAATTTTGACCTTGAATTTAATGCTTTTAAGCTTGCTTTTGAGATAAACTCGTCTTGTTTAATTTCACCACCTATGGCCCAAGAACTATTCACCAGATTCTTGAAACCATCAAACTCATCCAAGGATAAAAAAGTTTAAATAGCATTGGACAATAATTCAAAGTCATGCTTTTAAGAATTATTGAACTATGTCTATCCAACACAATAAAGGTAATTTTAGGAAAAAATCAACTAAATCACCATAAATCTATCGATTTTACTCATTTCCCACGTAAAAGCTCTTAAACCCAAATAGAATATCAACCAAACCCGCATCTCGAAGAAAATCATTGAAAAGGTTAGACAAGGAATGACATAAATTGGAGCCATAACTCTCTGGTTTATCACGAACCTTGTAAAAATCACCAAAAATAATACAATCCTAGTATCGACGATTGATAAAAGACAAAAAGAATCCTTTCACTAACCGTGTGTATTGGGAAGCATGAACATTAATCATAGAATTAAAATTAATCGACTTTCCCTCACAATAGCAAAAATTCCCACACGTGTGACTCTTTGTTTGGTGAACATGGAAGGGTTCCCAAAAAGAAAAAAATGCCTCCGGATCTACCCTCGTAATACTACATGCAAAATAAAAACGGAAGTTTCCTATAACATCTTCATCTTTACTATATCTAATCTAGTCATCAACGTTTCTTGGATACCCAAGAAATCCATTCTATTATCAACACTTATAGTTTTTATCCACCAACGCTCATTACTACTCCCAATCCCCAAATTATTTATAAATAATTAGGGATGATTTTCATTGGGACCTTCTGTTCCATCAATCTCATATGCTTGAAAGTTTTAACCTTCTTCGGAAATAATTTTTTTCTTTCTTTAATCTTCTGTAATTTTGATTTTGCAAAATAATGTCATGCCACTTGTCTTAGAGAGACTGTAAAAAATAAAAGAAATAACGGCAATGTATGAGGTATTCATGTATGTCATTTCATAGACATTAGGACATGGGCAAATACACATCCACCAACAACAAGAGTTACATGTTATGGATGATTTGTTTGCCAATATTTTATGGCAATTTAGGCATTAGTTTTGTCATTTGGTAAGAGATCATCATATCCGACGTACAACCATCTGCGAAAATATGGCTACTCATACGTACATCTGGAAGGCCCTTGGAAAATAATAATATTTCTCGTAAAAGAGTATCGAACATGTGATAAAAATTCATTACTTTTTTATTATCAATATTATGTAATATGTAACGTAAATTTTGTTATAAATAAAAATGTTTTATTATGTGCTAATAATATTCATCTAACTGATGTTAGTTTGTTTTCCTAATAATAGCACCACATACCTCAAATAAAAGTCATATGCATGACAAATAAAATTATAAAAATGACGAATATGTATCGCAAAGTCGAAACAAATATGTAAATCTTACTCCTTAAAATATTTTAATACAAAAATCTATGAAATGTTACTTCTTGGACGATAGTCACATGTGAAAGATTAATCTCCGACCCACTTTCACACCCATCAAGCCAAGAAGTATAAAGAAATTCTTAGATTTTGGTCTCTTGTTATTTTGTCATCCATCTTTATGTCGGATTTGGACTGTTGGGCAACTCATTTGTGAGAAACATCCTTGAATTTATATGTTATGCACAACTCTTTCATTAATATTGAGTTTCTATAATGTGTGATTTTGGCGTTGTAGTTTGTGATTCATGCATTGCAGACCATATTTTACGTTGGGCAAAGAACATATCGGACCCTAAAAGCTCAATGTCTAACAACTCAGTCATTAAGATTAAGTTTCAGACTATTTATGTCCGAAGACATTTAAGCTAATTTGATGAACACTAACTCTGATTATAAACTCAGATTATAAATGTACAAGGTATCGAAGAAACTGAAATTTCCTTAAATAGATCCAAAAAACCTACCATTTGTAAATTTTTACATCTTCAAAGGTTTGGAAGATACTTTTTTACTAGAAAAAAATACTCTGAAAACAATAATGGTGTTTGAAAATGCCAGAAAAAACGGTTTTTGAAATTATGTTATAAAATTGATTTTTGAGTTTTAAATGAGTACAAAAAGTCATGGGTTTGAAATTTTTGATAAAGTAATTTTCGAAATAACTTTATATCATAAAACTTTATTTTGAAAACTAGAGACTATTTTACACATCTTATTACCAAACCATATTCGGATATTATAGGTTACCTGTGGGAAAAAAAGCAATTCCGAAAGAACTTATTATTATTATTATTATTATTATAAACTGATTCTAAAAAATTAGCATAGCCAAAATACATGTTTATCATGATATTTTGTAAATGGTCATGACGTTATGTTTTTTTAAAATCTTTTTATGATTATTCAAGTCATCATTTTAAAAATATTATTGACAAAAAATAAACCGAATGGAAAAAAACATTCATCCGATGGATGTGTGACATTTGGCAGGGGGGGGGGGGGGGGTTGACATTTGGCATGCACGGGCCTGTTTGGAATCATTTTCTTTTTTTACCATTTCACCCCCTTCAATTTTACCGATTTCATCAATATTTGGTCATGATTACATAAATAACCTTTCTTTTTTAAAAAAATTAGCTCAGGATAATG